CGTCGTTCGCATCCAGCACTAGTCCCAAATGATTCATGTCATGTGCCGAACCTTGCTCCTACTGCACACTTGCCTCCTCCTAGACAATTGATTGCACTTCAAAAAGGTATATGATCCACTCGAAATGCTAGCCCACATTATACTTTCTTGAGTTATCATCGTCTCTCATCACCCTATTATGCCTTTGTAATATCTTTGTCCTCTATTTCCATTCCTAAGACTACAGGTGAAGCACTTTCTCATTCTAAATAGAGGCAGGCTATATTGATGAGATGTTTGTTTTCCATACGAGTGGTACTTGGGAGCTTGTCTCCCTTACTGTAGGTAAATCTAATGTTGGTTATCATTGGGTTTATACTATCAAAATTGGTCCAGATGGTCAGGTTGATCGGCTTAAGGCCTGCCTTGTTGCCAAAGGGTATACTCAGATAGTCTTTTCTATCTATGGTTGTCGTCGTCATTGGACCCTTCATCAATTGGATTAAGAATGATTTTCATCATGGTGATCTTAAGGAAGAAGTTTATATGGAGCTGCCACCTAGTTTTGAGCTTTGTTGCTCAAGAGAGTCTAGTAGCCTTGTATGTTGATTGCGTAAGTCACTTTATGGTCTGAAACTGCCTCCTCGAGCCTTCTTTGGGAAGTTTTTTTTTTTTTGATAAGATAAGTGGCATTAATAACAGCATCAGGAAGATGCAAAATTTACAAGATATGGCATTAGAGCTTACAAAAAAAATCTCTGGCAAACTATACAAACTATCTAAGCCAGAGCTAATGAGTTAGTAAAATCCTGACGTTGTTCTGCATTAACAGCAGGATACAAGTTGGTCCAACTAAACAAATTTTCAGTGCACCTAGTCTTCAAAATGCCTAAAGCAGCTGACTCTCCATCAAAACATCTCTTGTTCCTCTCTAACCAAATACACAAAAAAATACAAGCAGGTATCATAATCTAGATCTTCATGATGGCTTTGTCAACTTTCCATAGACTCCAACTCTCATATGCATCCTTAACAGTGAGGGGTGTGGTCCAATTGATGCCAGAGAGACAAAAAAACATGCTCCATAATTCTGAGGCCACCTCACAATGAAGAAGAAGGTGTCTGGGGTTTCAGCCTCTTTTTTGCACATATAGCATCTGTTTGGGAATTGGATTTTTCTTTTCTTTATGTTGTCTTAGGTGAGACATGCATCATATAAAGCTATCCTGCTTTGGGAAGTTCAGCACAACAATTCAAGAGTTTGGCATGACTCGTAGTGGAGCTGATCACTGCGTGTTTATAGGCATTCTGCACCAAATCTGTGTATTTATTTGGTTGTTCACATTGATGATATTGTTATCACCGGCAATGATCAAGATGGTATCACTTATTTGAGGAAACATCTCTTTCTGCATTTCCAGACTAAAGAGCTCAAAAGACTAAAGTTTTTTCTAGGTATTGAGGTTGCTCAGTATAGATCATGTATGGTTATTTCTTAACACAAGTATGCCTTAGACATTCTTGAGGAGACATGAATGATGGGATGTAAACCCATTGACACTCATATACTTCCGAATGTAGAACTCATTCCAAGACAGAAGGAGCCACTCAGTAATCCTAAAAGGTATAGACAATTAGTTGAAAAGTTGAATTATATCACAATGACTAACTTGACATCTCTTTTCCTGTGAGTGTTGTAAGTCAGGTTCTGACGTTTCCTTGTGATAGTCATTGGGATGTAGTGGTTCGTATTTTGCAATATATAAAGTCAGCCCTCTGTAAAGGACTACACTTCGAGGATCAAGGCCATGAGCATATCATTTGATATACAGATGTTGATTGGGAAGAATCACCCTCCGATAGACGTTCGATATCTAGATATTGTGTTTTAGTAAGAGGTAATTTGGTGTCGTGGAAGAGTAAGAAACAGAGTGATTGCTCGATCTAATGAAGAAGCAGAATATCAAATAATGGATTTAGCAACTTGTGAGCTAGGTTGGATCAAACAGTTGTTGAGAGAACAAAAGTTTGGAGAAACTGATCATATGGAACTTGTGTGTGATAATCAAGCACCCTCCATATCGCATCAAATCTAGTGTTCCATGAGAGGACTAAGCACATTGAGATTGATTATCACTTTTTTAGAGAAAAGATACTCTCAAGAGATATTGTTACCAAAGTTGTGAAGTCAAGTGATCAACTCACCAAGTCCCTCACTGGTCCTCATATAATTACATTTGTAACAAGCTAGGTACAAGATTTGTATGCACCAGCTTGAGGGGAGTGTTAGAATAGGAATATGTTTACACAACCCTACTAAGAATAGGAACAGGAATAGTATATAGAATTCTACTTGGTAAAGGATTGTATTATAGTGTCTATAAATAGGGTTCTCTGTGCACTAATGTAAATACATTCAATAATATTTTTCTTCAACATTTCTCACATATATGACAAGGGGCAAATAACCTAAAGATATCAATCAAGTAAGCTTATAATTTGAAAATGGACTACTTCGCACCAATGATTCAAACACTCCCCCAAAACTGTGTCCATGGTCCAACTAATATCTGGGCTATATCAAGTGCAAGCCTAGATATTGGCTAAAAGCATGGTTTTAATATATACTGATAAATTCCAGTGAGGATCCAGGTGGGACATTGCCTTGATTCAAAGACTATTTATAAACATGTGTTACATGGGTCATAATCCTTGTTGCAGAAGTTGACAAACAAATATGCCATCCTCCACTGACCTACACAATGTTTACCTAGTCAAGCAGACATATAGCACCAGTTAAGTAGATCATCCTTTGTTTGACTACCAAATCTGCAACTGTAATACCCTGATTAAGGATGCTAATAACTGTGGCTGCCAAGAAGTTGAGGCAAGAAAATGTTCTCTTGTGTGAAATCCACCCTAAGATTGGGGTAAACTGCACTTTATCATTTCCTGCTGATACGTGATTTATCATTTGATTTCTTTCTTGAGTTCTTTATAGGGACCAAGTACTGGTTCCCTGCTTGGATGTGGAGAATCAAAAGCAGGTTTGGAGAGATTAGCCCAATGCACATGAGAAACATGTACTAATGGGTCAAGGACTACAGGTTTGTTCGCGCTACATCAAAAAAGTAAAAGTAGTGGATCGGCTTACTGCCTCTCTTCAAATGATAGTACCTATTTTAATGGTTCTGAGCAGAGAAAGGAGATAGATAAGTCATATTATATGCAAGGCTTGTTTAAGAGAGAGATTTGAGTTACATAAAATAGTAAAAGTTTTGAAAGTCATTTTAATGATATCATTATAATAATAAAACAAACTTGGCACTGCCATGAAATATAACTAACTTGGCGCTGCAAGCTATTGACTTGGCCATGATGCTACCATGAATCAATAGGAGATGATTAAACTTGTTGTTCGGACAAATATGAGGGACAATTTAACTTAAAAATACACATATTGCCAGCTTGACTAGATTGCTGATAAAGACTAATGATATATGCTGCTGGTTCAGCAAAGATAGAATGCTGACTAGACAAGTGAGTTGATGAGAACTACTGACTGGAGAAAAATTGATTGTTGATTTGACATATCAACTAAGATATATGGCTAACTTGATAGGTAGCATATGTAAATCCATGAAGACAAAACGGAATTTTGACTTGAAATGTCAGCTGACATGAACTGATATCGGTCCTTGACACTTGATGGTGTGTGGGACAGACAAACAATTGGAGCAGAGATGCTTTTCCAGGGAAAAAATTGGAGCTGAGACTTCAAGCCTGATGTGTGAAGGACTTCGAGGGGCGATCTTCATAGTTGTGCTCATCTTGAAGACTAATAATCAGAATTGAGTGGAATGAGGGAGACAAAAAAGATAGACACTAAAAGAGATGTGGTTCCGCTCTAAGTCACCAAAGGTAGACAAGAATAGAAGACTATTTGGAAAAAGATAAATGAAAAGCTTGACTGCAAGACAAAGGTGGTCACGTAAGTTGGAATATCATGCGCTGATATCATATTAAAACAAGTGAAGAGAGAAAACTATTACCAGAGTGGTGATTAACATAACATTATAGGGCTTCTTGTACAATAGATTTGAAGAAAGTTTACTAATTCTTGTGAATCTTACCAAGTATGGAGAGAAATGTGATCTAAACTTTTGAACCAAGAATCCAGAGCCAAAGGAAGAAAATATTGAAGTTCATGTTCACCTAAAAACTTTCTGACAAAGTTTGTGTTTGCCACCTCAAGATCAATGCAGATTCCACAGTCTAATCAGTCAATCGATCCTAAGAATTGAGTGTCTCATACGTTCTTCATGTGTTGACTCTGGTTCTTGATTCAGAAGCCTTGGATCACCTGAGCAGTAACAGACATCTATTCTGTTTGACTCTAAACAATAATGGATTTCCAGTTCTCCTGTAGCTTAGCCTTTTCACATATGATAAGAGAACAGATTTCACAATGTCATTGCAATAGAGCTATATCTCCTTCATTGACAGCACTTCATGCTTGATTACAAAGAAGCCAAGTTGCAGGACATACATTTTGGACAAGAAGTTTCTTCAAATTCCTAATGCTATAAATATTTATTGATAAAGACAATCCCACAAATTGTTCTTTCTTCAATAATTTGGTGCAAATATAAATATCTAGTAAGGAAGAGGTAACAATCAATGCATTTTAAGGAGCTTATTTTCCATGGAGAAGGTCATGCCACACTAACAGGCATCCCTAAATCACAGTGAACTAATATTTGTAAATGAGGATCATTAACTGCATCAGCTAAGAACTCAAAGACGAAAGACTTGGAAGAGGCAGTTATGGTTTTAGCAACAGAGCAGAAGAAGAAAAAAGAAGTTGTCCACTTACGTCTCAATCAGTACAGCAAATTGTTGACTTCTGTTCTAATTAATGTAAGGAAAGGGAAGGAATGATGACATAAGAAGAAATGCATTTGATACAAACCAGTCTACAACCTGATTTCAAATGTCATCAATTAGCTTGAAGTACTTACCGGTGTTTGACACAAGACTGCACCTTTAGGGGTATTAACAGGTTTGACAACCAGTGCATGATTGTGCTCCTTCACTAATTTAGCAACAAGCCATTTTCCAGACTGTTCTTTCTTCACAATTATCATGGCCTTACATCCTTCCCTAATTGCTCTGCACTTTTTTTTTCCATTCTGACTTTGTCTACTTTTACTAAAACCCTCTTTATTACAGACAAGTCGACGCCACACCAACTCCCCATTACGCATAGATCGTCGAAATGCATCTACTCGCATGATAAAGCCCAAATGTGTGGCATATGTGCTATAGTATGCCTTAGCAGCTTCTTCTGATTCAAATTCCATACCCACATAAGGTTCCACATTTGAGCGTCCTTCAGCTTCAAGACCATTTGGAGTAAACTCCTTTCCAGTTGAAGTCTCTACAATACCCACATCATCTGTTGCATTATCTGCCATGAAACGAGAGCAGAATAAGTTTGTGTAACAAATATGAGACACTATCCACAGTCCATAGCTACCTACAACATCACAACCTTAACAAAAAGTACTAGTGTATTTTGCAAGGTAGTAAGGAAAGGAACTTTTTTCTGTAAATTTGGATACAAATCCCATACCGACATTAAAACAACCTTCAGGTAGAACAGCATTTGTGGTGAACTCCTTTGGACTTGAAGTATCTACCATCTCATCATGATTATTGCTTTCATCCACTGCCATGGCACCAGGGTAAAGCTAAATATGAGATAGCACAAGTACTATCAATGCAGACAAGGAAAATAAAGGAGGATAAAGTGTTACTTTTACGGCGAATTCGATTAAGGGGTTTGTAAAACTGGAACTGCAAGCCCTATTCAACAAATTGGTAACACTTGTTGTTTCAACCTCCACAATATGTACAGAGAAATGTGCCTACTTACTTACTATTATATACACATCCAAATCCCCAATTTGTCGTGTCAATAACAATTCTGCTGCTTCTCGTTCCAGACACCAGCACCTTGTCTGCCCTGCCGAAAAGGAGGACGTGTTTGCTCCGATTTTTTGCCAAACGCCACCCGATTACATACTTACATAAACCCTTTTTATTCTGTTACATCACACAACTCAACTATCCAAAATGCTCTCATAGAAATGGTTTTAAAATAATTTCTCAATTTATTAGATTAAAAACTAGGTAACGTGACGGTCATAAATATTATATCAAAACAAATCAAAAGTATAAATTAATTCTATTATATTAGTTGAATATAAAAGAGTTTTTAGTTTTTTTTTTTTTTAACAATTTGGACTCATGGTCCATTTATTGAATGCTCAAACATAAATTGTTCAAAAGCAACCCACGAAATCTAAAAATAAGAGTCCAAATCCAGCCCAAAAGTGACGGATTCAGTGTAATAATCACAATAACAAAAACAAGGTCCTACATTGTAGGGTTTCCAAATTTGATCTTCCGCCATCTCTTTCATTTTTCCTCTATTTCAGATGTTATGTGCTAGAGTCGTGTGTTCCAGCTCTAAGGCTCTATGTAGGTATTCTTTCACTCCCCTTCTTCTTTGTTCCTTTATTCTTGTGTTTGATTCATCGTTATCTATCCAACTCCTGGGATTTTACTTCTTGGACCCACAGCTGGATGCAAGCTCATTGTCGTTGATCTGGTTCACCTATCTTTACTGGGGTTGTTCTTGTCTGCTTACCCAGCTTCGACTAGTTATTATTCTCACAACTATTTTGCCCTGAAAATGATCACAAACTGAATTGTAATTGTAATAGTTGTGAAATATTGTGGCCTTTATGTGGTTCCCCCTCATGATTGATTCTGGTTGACTATAATCTTCCTTGTTTTAATTCTAATGGTAGGAATGCCTCTTTTATCCATGTTTAGAATTCTCCTTCCCATGCTAGATAATTGATTGAAGCTGTGAAATTGTTGTAATTCTGCTTGACTAATAGTTGTATTTGTGATGTGATCTGCTAGTTGATTTGCCTCTCTAAAAGTATGCTCAATTTGTACCTTTAGCTGATTCATCATCTCTTTGATCTCCTTTATCTTCTCTGTTATTTCCCATGGCACTTTCCATGTACTTTTAATTATTAGCTTTAAACTTAATGAGTCAGTTTCCAGCTGAATATTAGAAAATCCATGATTTATGCAATATTGTAAGGCTTTCCATATGGCCATAGTTTCAGCCTCCATGTTTGTTGCAACTCCAATACTTTTAGCTTCTGCATATAGTAAATCTCCACTGCTATCTCTTATACAAAAATCATATGCACTTTCCCCTGGATTGCCCTTACTAGCACCATCTGTATTACACTTTACCCATCCTTCCTGCGGGCGAGTCCACTTCACAACCAAATAGTGAAAAATAGGCCTATATTCCTAAAGTTGACCAAACATGCCCTACCAGGTGTGTGGTATATTCCTCGACCATGGGAACTTTACTTTGATAAGGAAATATACATTCAATTGACATTGATCATACATCTTATTAAAGGAGGTTTCCTTTCCATGCCTTCTTGCATTTCTTTTCTTCCATAATTTCCACATAATAATAGTTGGGACAACTATTAGAACTGAGTGTAGTTTTGGATTAGTCTTTAGCTCCCACCATTTCATAATGAGTTGTTGCAGCTGCAACCCTTCAATGTTGAAACCTGCACATGAAGCAAACTGCCTCCATAGCTTTTGGGCTATGGGTGTTGTTAGAAATAAGTGTATCATTGTCTCCATCTCTCCTTTTTCACAGCAGTAGCATTTTGAAGCTATTTTCACCCTCATCCTTTTAAGATTGTCGTCTGTGGCAATTCTTTTCTTCCAAACTCTCCATAGAAAAAATGCAATCTTAAAGGGGAGCCCCTTTAACCACAATTGGTTCATCCACTCTAATTCATTCATGCTACGTCTCATGCTATGATATGTTGATTTCGCTGTGAATACTCCCTTTGAATTTTCCATCCACCATGCCTTGTCAATCATATATGATTCCTTTCCAGGCTTGATATTTTCTACAATGTGAGCAGTCATTTTAGGTAATACGCATTCAAGAAGCTTATTGATATTCCAGTCCCCTCCACTCTGAAATTCTTTCACCTCGATTTCTTCCTCTCTAGCTAGTTCCCTTTCTATGAAATAAAGAGCACCTTGCTTGGTCCAATTATCATACCAAAAACTTGAATTTCCTGATTCTACTTACCACCATATATCATGCTCAATTTCTTCTCTTACCTCCACCATTTTCCTCCATCTGAGAAACACCAGTGTTTCTAGTGATTGTAGGATGATACTTTTTACAATATTTATTCCACATATATCTACTCCAAAGTGATGAAGTAGTTTTGAACTTCCATCACAATTTAGCAAAGAGGGCCGTAGAAACATAAAATAAAGATCTAAATCCTAGACCTCCTTCCCTTTTTGGATAACACATCTCCTCACAAGCTACCCAATGCTTACCTTTAAGACCACCAGTGCTGCCCCAGAAAATTTTTGCAAAAACCTGATGAATTTGCTCAATAATCTTCTTAGGGGGGTTCATTGCCGATAAAAGGTATATAGGTATTGATTGCAGAACATAGTTTATGAGAGTATACTTTCCTCCAAAGGATAGAAATCTATTTTGCCACGAGAGTACCATTCTAGCTATCTTCCTTACTAGATCTTCAAAGTGAGATTTGTTCTTTCTCCCATAAAAAACTGGACATTCCAAATATATGAATGGGAAATTTCCTTGCTTGATACCTGTTAACCTTCACAATTTGATTGCTATAATTAAAGGGGTTTGATTATGCAGAAAGAAAGAACTTTTTGTCTTGTTTATCAGCTATCCAGATACTTGTTCATACTCCTTCAATATTTTCATCATTTTAATTACAGAAATTCCCTGAACGAAAACAAACTGTGTCATCAGCATAATATAGGTGATTGATTTCTGGACTCCATTTAGGCATTTCATAACCCAAAAATCTATCATCTCCATAAAGGTTGTTAAGTCCCCTAGACAAAACTTCAGCAACAATGACGAATAATGTTGGTGAAAGAGGATTGCCCTGCTTAACTCCTCTCGAGGAGTGGAAAAACCATGTGATTGTCCGTTAATTAGTACAAAGTACCAATTATTTGAGACCAGCCTCCAAACCATATCAATAATTACTTCTGAAAATCCAAACCTTCTTAATACCTTGGTCAGAAAAATTCATGATACTCTATCATATGCTTTAGCCATGTCTAATTTAACCACTACATTAACATTTTTATTCCTCATATTGATGTCTCTTATAATCTCTTGTGCTAGTAGAATATTCACAGTAATACTTTTGCCCTTCACAAAACCTGCCTGATTTTCCGAGATAATGTTTGGTAGTACAACTATTATTCTCTCATGCAACACTCTAGAGATCACCTTGTTAATGAATGTACTTAGACTTATCGGTTTCAAGTCAGCGAAAGTTTTTACTATTTCCTTCTTAGGCAGCAGGACAAGATTGGTATGTGTTACAAATTTTGGTAGCTCCTAACCACAGAAAAATGCCCTTACCAATTTAGTGATGTCCTCTCCTATTATTTCCCAGCAGCTTTGAAAGAATAGACCAGAAAATTCATCAGGTACGCAAGCACTATCCCCATTTAGTATAAAAACTACCTTCTTAACTTCATCATGACTAGGTAATTTAGTCATTTCTTCATTCTGATCATCTGATATCATTTTGGGGATAACATTTAGTATAGCCAGATCATGCTCCTCATTTGTTTATCTAAACTGTTCCGCAAAAATTTCAACTGCCTTCTCTCCAATTTGCTGATTTGATTCAAGTATCACCCCTTGCCCTGTAGTGATTTTTGCTATATGCAACTTCTTTCTTCTTCCTTTTACATAGGATTGAAAGAACCTAGTGTTTCTGTCCCCATCAATAAACTACCTCATTCCTCATTCTTGCTTTCTGTTTCTAGTATTCTTCCTCAATTTTCAAAAAAGAGTGTTTAGTTCAAATTCAATTAAATAGATAAAAATTTGAATTCATCTTATTATTCACATTGAACTAATTTATAACAAATAAAATATACTATTACATGAAGGAAGAAAAAGTACTTTTTCAGTTTTCGTTAAACATAAATTGTTTAATGTCATATAACCAGCTTAAAGATAAACAAAACTCATTAAAAATAATTATATGAGAAAAAAGAGAAGAACATGGTCCATCCATAACAAAGTGATAATAACTGTATTTATATGCGAAAATTATGACGTATACAGATTTAAAAAGTAGAGTTTAGAAAATAAAATAAAAATCAAAACTGAACATTTTGTGTAATTTACACACAATACATATGTATTAATTAGCTTAATTATATATATAATATGTAATTTTTTGAAACATCATAGATTGAAGATAGAGAATTGATTTTTAAATTATATACTTTTTAATTTTTCTCTTCACTTATACTTGAAAAAAATACTTAATAACATAAATTTTATAATGTGAAGATAATAATAATAATAATAATAATAATAATAATAATAATAATAATAATAATAATAATAATAATAATAATAATAATAAAAGATTAAATCAACAAGTAGTTATATGATAATTGAAATAGAGTGTATAAGATGTATAAAAATAAATTGATAAATTATAGAAATTGTAATGTCTAAAATGTAAAAATGAGCATTTGTAAGTTAAATTAAATTTAAATTGCTAAGTATTGTTGGATTTTCTAGCTAATTATATTATAGACATGAAGGTGACATTTGGATAATCAAAATGTTATAGTAATTTGATCACTTCATAGATAATAATGAACTCATTTGAACTTTTTTTGTACTTTTTTCACACTCTTACATTACACACTCCCTTCATTTCAAAATAAAGTTTTTTTTTTTATTTTTTTATTTTGCTTCGAATCGTGTTTTACATAATTATGAAGACTTCAATGATGTTTTTTTTCAATCTTTCCCTTATTTAATCAAAAGAAATTTATATAACCAAAAAATTGGGTCAAAGAACTATATTTTTTTCAAGATAGATATTAAAGTTAATTTAGTAAAAGTATCTTACTTTATAGCCCCGCCCTCAAAC